GAGCTGCGTACCGAATTGGAACCTCTGGCTTAAGAGTGATCATGTTTCTCCAGTATTACCTCAACGAGGAGGGAGATCGGGTCTATACGCTGAAGGTGAGGAGAGAAAACAGGTTGTAAATAGGCATAGCTAGAAGTGTAGATGGGAGGAGTGGGTGAGGCCATCCACCGAGTTACCTAGCTGGGTGCGGGGAGCCAGAAAGTCCAGAACCGAGGTGAGTAAGAACCGGGAGTGCACGACTAATTTTTTTAATTAAAAAAAAATATGTGGTCGGGCGCTGTGGCTCACTCCTGTACTCCTAGCACTTTGGGGAGGCCGAGGCAGATGAGTTGGCTGAGCTCGGGAGTTCAAGACCACCTCGGCAACACGATGAAACCCTGTCTCTACTAAAATACAAAAAATTAGCCTGGCTGGTGTGCAGTCTCAGCTACTCGGAGGCTGAGACAGGAGAATCGCTTGAACCCGGGAGGCGGAGGTTGCAGAGAGCTGAGGTAGCGCTGTTGCACTTCAGCCTGAGCGACAGAGCGAGACTCCGTCTCAAAAAAATATGTATGTATAATATATATATTTTATAAAATTTTTTAAAAATCGTGTTCATCTCTAGGTAGGTTAGAAGTCACTTTTTCTTTTTCTTTTCTTTCTTTTTTTTTTTTTTGAGGCAGGGATTTGCTTTGTTGCCTAGGCTGTAGTGCAGTGGCGCCATCTAAGCTCACTGGAGCCAATCTTGGCCTCAAACGCTCCTCCTGCCTCAGCCTCCCGAGTAGCTGAGACTACAGGCGTGTGCCACCAAGCCTGGCTAATTTTTGGTTTTGGGTTTTTTTGTTTTTTGGTTTGGTTGGTTTTGTGTGTTTGTTTTTTGTAGAGACGGGGTTTGCCATTTTGCCCAGGCTGGTCTCGAACTTCTGACTTCAAGCGATCCTCCCGCCTCGGCTTGCCGAAGTATTGGGATTACAGGCGTGAGCCACCGCACCCGACCTTTTTAAATTTTATGTTTATTTATTTACTTATTTGTACAACTTTTTGAGCTCACCATTGCATCTTATGTTTTCATGTTTGCTCTTTTTCACACTGTTTCCACCCCGTCTCACCACTCCTGAACTGACATACGTTTTCTCTTCCCCGAGCAGAAATTTGATCCGATGGGACAACAGACCTGCTCAGCCCATCCTGCTCGGTTCTCCCCAGATGACAAATACTCTCGACACCGAATCACCATCAAGAAACGCTTCAAGGTGCTCATGACCCAGCAACCACGCCCTGTCCTCTGAAAGTCCGTTAAACTGATGTCTCTTCTGCTGCCTGTTAACCCTCAGAGACTCCATAACCAAACTCTTCAATCTGTGAGCCC